GAGGAGGAGGAGGAGGAGGAGGAGGAGGAGGAATGGTGTTTAAACAGCTTCACACAAGATTTGGGCATGCAGCCAGATTAGAAAACCAGTGACCTAATACATTTTCATTCTTATTCTACATCCTATAGGATATATTCTATATATTCTAAGATCTTCATTCTCACTCTTTGTCTCCCTCCCTCCCTCTCTATAAAATTACAGACAGTGTGAGTATTCATAAATATAAATTCTTCTCATGAATTCCGTATCATTTCCTGTCCACAAATAGCAGTAGTATTCTGATTTTATAGATAAAGCTGTGGATCGAGAGAACTTCCTAGAAAGACAACAAAGCTTTGATCCTGTACCCTCAACCTCCCAGATCCCAACTCGGTCCTTCTCCAGCACAGCTGATGGGTCCTTGCTGGGACAGCATTCTACCTGGAGATCATGACAGACCTCCTATATGCTTTCCTGACCCACAGTGTTTTGACCCTGTGGTTATACCAACTCCTTGTTTAGAATGCTCCCACGGCTCTCCGGTAGACTTGGGATAAAACCCAACTCCAAGCAGAGAATGAACGCCCCCCTCTCACCTGGAAGCTCCTGTAGTTTTGCCTCCTCCTATTCCTATCCCTCATCTTACCTCCAGGATGCTGGATGTACAGCTAAGGCCCACCTCCATGATGCTGGCTGCCTGGGGTCTTACAGCTAAGGCTAGTGACTTCCAAGTCAGCCCTCAGGAGTACCGATTGCCTCTTCTGTGGTTGTCCTCCCTCCTTATTGCTACCCACATTTAAACTGTTCCCTAAATCACAGCTAAGCCATCACCTTCAGCAAAGATCTTCTGGTTGCCACTGACAGGCAACCCAACTCTATTTTGACTCTACCCTTCCTGGTTATCCAGGGATTCCGACTGCCATCATGCCTGCCTACTGAACCGAAATATCACGCCTATTGATCTGACTTCTTTGCATTGCAAGCTTGAGAATGGTCACCATATCTTGACTGCTATGTATCCCCAGCACCCAAAATACAATATTTGATTATAAATAAACAAATTATGTCTATGATGATGAATACATTTTAAAACACTGAAAACAAATATGTACTTTATAAGGGGTCAGACAGTTAAATAAAATGCCCCTTTTAAACTACTTTTCATTAGACCTTTTTTTTAAAAAAATTATTATTAATGGAGGTGGGAGCATTCTGGGGAGATCACGGGAAGGTCAGTGAATAACTTGTTCTTTGAATGAGTTCCAGGGGTCAAACTCAGGTCACCAGGCTTGCCCTGCAAACATGCCTTTACTTACTAAACCACTTTGCTGGCCTCATATTTGATATTCTACCTGGTAATGGCTTCTACAAAGGTAGCGGGAGTGTGAGATGTTCATTTGTTTTAAGCTAGAAAGGTTATCTATTAGTCTAGAATTCTCTTTGGGAATTTGTCTCACTAATTAAGAATTCACTTGGACACACAATTTATCGAACTCGGATTTCCAGTGGCTCGTTTTTTTAAATAAAACCTCATACATCTTACTTCGTCCATTGTGGGTCTTAACTTGGCCCGCGTTGCCACACACTGGCCCGCCAGAGAGAAGAGCTTGGCAGAGAAGTTCCGAGGACAGGGCGGTATCTTTCTGTCTAAGAGCGAGAGGCACGAGTCTAGGCCTCTCTTCTCCATCAGTTCCATGAGGAGGTCCCGCTAAGAAGAGGAAAGGACAAAGTTGTTTCCTGGAACTCTATCAGACAACTAATTGGCAATGGGTGCTGGTACATGCGCAGTTCTTACCAGCTGAACGCATTTGGGATCATCCAGGACCACTTTGCAGCCCGTTAGGACCTCCATGATCACCTATAAGGAGCATAGACCTAGTCAGCTACAGAGGTTGAGAATGAATACAGAATCAGTTTCAACTATTTGACGTAACAAATGGATTCCATTCTAACTGATGTGCTCGTATTTTATTCATGGATTATTCGAAAATTAAGGTGTTGGATAACGAATAACAGAAAATCAATAGGTATAAAATTTAAAACTCTTAAGATTTTTCCTCTAAGCCAGTGGTCCTCAAACTGCCTAATGCTGTGACCCTCTAATACAGTTCCTCATGTTGTGGTGACCGCCTGCCATAAAGTTATTTTTATTGCTACTTTGTAACTGCGTTTTTGCTACTGTCATAAATGGTAATGTAAATCTCTAATAACATGCAGGGGGGTCTTAGAGGACCCCTGGGAAAGTCCAAGAACCCTCATGGCAGTGAATCCTCTTCCATAGCTAACCAACAGGCGAGACTCACGATTCCGAAGCTGTAGACATCCGTTTTAACAGAAAGTCTTCCCTGTCTGATGTATTCTTCTGGCATGTACCACAGATGTTTCCTGCCGCTGCCGGTCATATTTATGGTAGAACTCTGCTGCTCTAGGTGGGGTCGGAAGTGCGCCGCAGCAAAATCGGTTAGTTTGGGTTGGAACTGGTCATCCAGGAGTACGTTTGCACTGAAAGTGTGGTCAAAGACAGACAGGACAAAGCATCACAGAGGATCACAGAGGCTGAGACAGAACATGGCTGAGTGATTCAGAACACTGTAAGATGAAGGCAAATATAAATTCTCACGGGCGAGTGTGCATTCTAAACATTTGAGTGTGCATTCTAAACATTTTTCTTCAAGCATAAACATAAATTTAAATGAAGCCCAAAAAAAGAAAAAAAATCTGACCCATGAACAGTGAGTATTACAGATTTTAAAACATGTGTGGGTGCCATGCCAACAGGACAAAGTAAGGTTAACCACAGCAGCTTGCTTGTACTCTTACGGAGACCATGTGCTCAGTTTTAAGCTGCTAGTGAAGGAATTTGTTCTATGCAGAGAGGTGTGTTATGGAATGCTAGGCTTACTAGAACTGCTAGCCTAGAATGACTTGGCGAGTCTTTGATAGCCCCTATTTCAGCAGTCTCCAACCTTCCTAAATGCTGTGACCCTTTAATACCGTCCGTCCCTCGTGTTGTGGTGACCCCCCCAACCATAAAATTCTTTTCATTGCTACTTCATAACTTGTCATTTTTGCTACCGTTATGAATTGTAATGTAAATATCTGTCGGGTAGGATATCTGATGTGTGACACTCAAAAGGGGTCGCGACCCACAGGTTGAGAAGCACTACCCTACTTTAAGGACAGTCCCACCTCAGAGCTCCCACTCTATGAGTTCCATTTTATTAGCTGGTGAGACTCACTCTGGATGTGAACTATCCTGGAAGCAAAGGCAGAGTGCATAGAGTTCGTTTAGGAAACTGTCACATTAAAAACAACCATGTCACATTTTAGATCAGAGTAAGTATTGATTTGCTTTATGCCTCAATAGACTTTCATAGGACACCAGGGAAGGAGAAGCCCCGAGGGCCATGCACTCCACACAGCAGTCCCTTTCCCAGGTTCTGAGACCTTCAGTTCTATCTTCTTGGCATTTCAGGCCAGGAGAACAGCAGAATCTAAGGCACTGACCATGGACTATGAAGTCCATTGCTGCCTGGGCTGGCTGGATACATGGTAGCAAGCATGGGGACTGACAATCAGCCATAAAAGAGCAGGCAGAGGCTTCCAGACTGGTTAGGGGCTGTGAACAAGCAACTTTTCGTTTCTGTTTTGCTTAGGGCTCTTCAGAGCTAGTTTGTGTCCTGATGCTGAAACATTTTCTACTTAGCTTGCTCATCCAAATGTGAAGGTGCAGATTTTGTAGTGATACCCACTGTTATTAAATGTAGCAGCTGCTACTGGGTAAGAAGTCCGTAAGCCTAAACAAACTTACAAATGTCCCAAAGGTCTCTGCTGTCTCAGAACAAGAACACGAACAGGCAGAGCTAGTTCTGAACTGAGACCCTCTAGAGGAAGACATGGCTGCCAGACTATGGTGGGATTCAGAGCGGATTTAAGCACATCAGTTCCGTGTCCGTAACTAAGGTCTCTCAATCCAGACTTTTGCCTAGGACCGAGTTGACAACTGATGAACTAAAATGATGTCCTCGGTTCCTTTAAGAGTAAAAACATGTTTTAAACCCTGGCTCTTCCCTCCACAAAATGGAAAAAGAATAGTAAAGTGCAAAGAGCCGACTTTATTAGACTCTGTTTGCACTGTGTGATCTCATCTGTAGGGGAATAAGCCAGGGGTTGTGTCCCCAAGGTTTGTATCACAGTCCTTAACTCTCTCCTTCCCTGCCTCTTCTCAAGTGCTCAGCAACTGCCAGAGGCAGCTTGTGTCTGCCATGGCCCAACTCTGTTCCGTTCCCCACTCATTCTTTCATTGTCTCTCCTGGTGAACAGCATCGTGTTCTTGTTCTGAGACAGCAGAGACCTTTGGGACATTTGTAAGTTTGTTTAGGCTTACGGATTTCTTACCCAGTAGCAGCTGCTACATTTGATAACAGTGGGTATCACTACAAAATCTGCACCTTCACATTTAGATGAGCAAGCTAAGATGCTGAAGGGACATTTGATGCCTGAAGTTGTATGTAAAACTACATGTAGCACACCACGCCCAAGAAGGCTCACTGCACGCAAATCAGTCAAGAAGTCTATTCCATGTGACATAAAAATCCCAACTCTACATGGCAGGTCATTGGAGCTGCTGCCCCTTTGCCCTGCCGCAGCCTGCTTCCTCCCTTAGAAACATAATTTCTTCTTATACACAGTTTATACTGCTATCCACGTGTCTCTGTCCAGTGCCTTGTTCCAAGACACAAAATAGCGAAAACTCTCAGAAGTGCTCAGCAAACTCTACTATCCAGTGACATCAGGACTTACTCCCCCCACCCCCAGTCACACCCACACCCCCCACTACAGTTTCTACTACTCTAGGAGACACTCCTGTGTACCCTTGTGTCATCTCTGCACAGAGGAAGACGGCGAAACTCTAAATGCCACTTGTTGTTGTTGTTGTTGTTGTATTGGGTTTTGTGGTTTATCTGTATAGCCCTGGACGAGGTTAGCCTCAAAATTAGAAATTCACCTGCCTCTGCCTCCCAGGTGCTGGGGTTAAAGGCGTGCGCCACCACCACCTGGCTGACTGCCATGTTTTCAATGTCTTCCGCCTTCACCACAGTTCTCCAGAAGACATGGTATTCTGATTAATATGTTAGGCGCTTGAAAATGCCAAACCCAAATCTAACCACCCCATAGGAATCCCTGAAGATTGTTTTTTTTAAATATAGGAAAGGGGTGTGGGGAGACAGACAGGGACAGCAATAATAACAAACCCATAATCCAAGCCATGTATTTGACCTGCAGTGAAACAAGTAGGCACTGACAGCAACTGGTGAGTCACACGACTCTGAGAGCATAGGCAGAGGTGAGCTGGGTGACCACAAACCATGTCACCCAAAACACCTGCTGAGGTCATGGGGTCAGCGAGGGGGCATGGGTCAGACGGGATAACTGAGGACCCTGTCCTTACACACTGCGTACTGACATCTGGTGCAGAGGCGAGATCTTACCAGCAGGCCGTAGTGTGGAGCGTACATTTTGAAACCGGTGATTTATTTGGTTCTAAATAAAGGTTACAGGGAGGCGAGAAAGGGGTGTGCTCAGTTTTAGGAAAGTGGGACTTTTGTAAAAACAAAACCAAAACCAAAAAAACCCAAACTTGTCAGGTTCTACACTAATGCTTTCCCCTGACCCCTGCTTCAACCTAAAACAGAATCTTCAATTATAAAGTGGCCCCAACTACCAGGCGGTATGTCTGTTCTGCAGCGTGAGAAGACACTGACAAAAAGAAGAGACAGTTGAAGTCACAATAATATGAAACCAAAGCACAGCTTGCTGATGGTTCTGGCCGATAGAGGCAGACACTGGGCAGCTTTGGCCCACACCCACATCTCCTGTTTCTACCCTGCTCCCTGCTCCTTACTCTAAAGGCTGATTGGATTTAAACAGAGAGGCTGATTGGATGTGTAATTCTTTAAATAGAAGGGTCCCTGACTGAGGACATTTGGGCTTTCCTGACCGGGTGGTGAAGTTGTACCCTGACTCAGGTGTAGTGACTTAACACTTTTTTTTTTGAGGAACCTGATCCCCCAAACAATACTACTTTATAATGAGAACGGCTTTCTCTGCTCACGGCTAACTTTCCTGGTTTAGTGTTAACAGGCCTTAAAAATTAGGATGATGTATCCAGATTAAAATGCAGGATTTGAATTTAAGTTGCGTCTGGCAAGGTTGTGTCTGACACAGGGGATAAGAATTGATCTTTAAGACATTACATATATTTAGAGAGGCTTATTTGAGCTTCAGTCAATTGTCACATTCTGGAACCAGTTTTCTCTCCACCTTTAACAACTCAGTGCCTATAGGCGAGGGTGTAAGAGGATGAAAGAATCAACTCATCCACCTGATGGTTCATCTCCTGTAGACTGAGATGTCCTATTAAACTGACTCTCAGCCTTGATAAGCCTGCAGCCATCAGCTGTCTTGCCCAGGAGGACTGGGAGAAAGGGAGAAAAAACAGGCTGAGTTTTCAAGCCAAGAGTGTCCTGGTGGCCGACCGACCAACCTGTGGCTGTCTGTCTATCCACCCTACCGGCCTCCGCCCATACTTCTAGATTGGCACATAACAAATGCTGTGTGCACTCTTTCCCACACTCTAATCTTGTGTCTCTGGTCAGTTTCCATTCTTCCCTGTTGAAGCCTCCCGCTTTCCTCCTGAATGCCAAAGCTTGTTTCACCAATGGCAATACCACCCTAGGACCTGTTGGAAACACTGAGGTTAACTTCTTGATTTGGAGCCATTACCAGGATGGGAACTGCCGTGGGTGAAGTGCCTTTCAACTTCAACTTAGCTATATATGTGAACAGGCAAGATCTAGCGCTATCAGATGCTTTAACGAGATCCTGTAATTGGAAAATATCTTCGTTTCCTAAAGATCAATGTGAGTCTTCTGCCAAAGCTACAGACTGCACTCCGGATTCTCCCTTTGGATCCTCTTCTTCTCAGCTCCCACGATCTGGTAGTGAGTTTTGTTTTTATAACACCCTCTTAAAGAGTTCAAATTACTAAGATATTTTGGGGCTAAGTGAACTGCCAGACTTGCTGCAAACACCTCTGGAATGTGGGCTCTGCTTCCTCCTGTGGGTGTGCCTCGGCTGCAAGCCAGACATCATTTTCCTTCTTAAAAAGAGAAATCTCTCTCTGCTGGAACAAGCCAGACCGATGGCGTGAATCTCCAGACCTAATTTCTCTCTCCACAAGAGTCTGATGTTAACAGTTAACTGATGTTGTCAGTCTGCACATGGTACTTCTCTCTCTCTCTCTCTCTCTCTCTCTCTCTCTCTCTCTCTCTCTCT